CGCCTTATTCTGGAGTGGAATTCGGTGTGCCGCAGGGTTCGGTACTCGGACCGATTCTTTTTACTCTCTACATGCTGCCACTGGGAAACATTATTAAAAAGCATGGAATTAATTTCCACTGCTATGCAGATGACACACAGCTTTATCTGTCGATGAAGCCTAATCAGACAGATCAGCTAGAAAAGCTCAGTGCCTGCATAAAGGACCTTAAAATGTGGATGACTCTTAACTTCCTACTTCTCAACCCGGAGAAGACAGAAGTGATCCTACTCGGTCCGAAGCGCCTGCGTGACTCCCTCACTAACCAGATGGTTACTCTCGATAATGTCAGTATAATACCCAGTAACACTGTGAGGAATCTTGGAGTCATTTTTGACCAAGAACTCTCCTTCAAGGCTTATATAAGCCAAGCAACTAAAACGGCGTACTTCCACTTACGGAACATCGCTAAAATTAGGAATTTCCTTCCTAAAAGTGACGCGGAAAAACTCATTCACGCGTTTGTCACCTCAAGGCTCGACTACTGTAACGCTTTACTGGCAGCGTGCCCTAAAGCCTCTTTGAAGAGCTTCCAGCTCGTTCAGAATACAGCAGCTAGGATCTTAACAGGTACCAAAAGGAGGGAGCACATAACTCCGGTGTTAAAATCACTCCACTGGCTCCCTGTGGAGTACAGAATAAAGTTTAAAATCCTACTCTTAACATATAAAGCCATAAATGGCTTGGCTCCTTCTTATCTCCAAGACACGTTAGTGTCGTATCAACCAGGTCGAGCGTTGCGCTCACAAAACGCCAGACGTCTGGTGGTCCCTAAGGTCTCAAAGGTCACTGTTGGTGGCAGAGCATTTAGCTACCAAGCTCCTTTACTGTGGAATCAGCTTCCCATTTATGTTAAGGAAGCAGATACGGTCTCCACATTCAAGGCCAGGCTTAAAGCACTTTACTTTAATTTAGCATATAATTAGGTAATATATAATATGTAGTGTATATATTATATATATATGCTGTATTATGTTATATATTATGTTATATATTATTCAATAATGTATTGTGTTATGTTGTATATTATGTTATATATTATGCTGTATGTTATTCTTTATTCAAGGCTAGGTTTAAAACAGTCCTCTTTAGTTTAGCATATGGCTAGGAAGGTAAGACTCGGAGAAGGTTAAACTCCTCAGAGTGTTAGTCCAGCTGCATAGGGAGTCAGTTTGCTGGGAGAAGTATGGTAACTTGAGCACTATCCTCTCCTCCTTCCTACTTTATCTGTTTAGCATTTTTAGGATTCTGACTGTAGTTTGTTCATTGCTATTCACCCGTTGTCCCATTGTCTGTTTCATGGTACGATGACGGGATCTCTGAGCCTGGCCTCTTCCATCTACACCTGCGGACTGCCCCGCCTGACCCGCCTGGGAGTGCTTCAGTCCTGCACCGGACCTGTCCACGTTCAGCGTCCACTGGTCCACGTTCTGTAGCTAGCTTAGGTCCTAGATCATTAGCCTGTCCGTCCGGAGGAGCGGATCCCTTTCTCATATGGGTCTCCCTCCCTGTGGGTTTCCCTAGTTCTCCTCCAAGGTTTCTCACTTTTTCCCACTGGGTTTTTTAAGAGTTTTTCCTTGTCGATGCAGGAGGGTCTTGTTGGACAGTTAGTGTCCAACAGAAAGGATTGGTGATGATCAGGACACTTTAGCATTCTACAACATGTATGGACATTTTCTTCTGTGTGTGCTTTATATTCTTCATGTGTTTTAACTGTTGATTCTCTGACCTGTGTTGGTGATTTCAATGGTTTTGTTAAGTCCTCTGAGATGACTTCTGTTGTGACCTAGGGCTATACAAGAATAAATTGTATTGTATTGTATTGTATTGTACATGTCATGATTATGTAATAATGCTGTTAAAATAAACCAAACTAAAAAACAATTGATTTTTCAATGACTATTAATCAACATCTGTTTTATCATTTCTTCAATGTGCATATTTAAGTTTGATTTCTTGCTCCACTGGACGTTGTTGTTGTTGTGTAACTCCACATAACGCAAGAGGTAATATTTACAGAGATCAGTTCACAGCGAGACTTCTATTCTGTGAGAATACAAGTCATGAGTCGGTCATGGGTTCTGCGCCCTCAGGTGGTTCACTTGGCCTCGCAGTTTTTGTTGTTATGACAGGTGTTCATCAGTAAAGCAATATCGCTTTCATTTTTTGAGACCTTATCATGCCTTGAGTGATGTGTTTGATGTTAATTTAGATATCTCAAACAATTTTCCCCATAGATAACAGGCATGTCTACTCTATTAAAATGGGGGGGGGGGCAACATAATTAGTGGCTGGGGTAAGAAGGATTCTTCTTGATTTGAGTATGTATAAGAAATAAAATGTGTCAATAGAACACATTACTTACACCCAGAAATAATCAACCGTAAAATATAAAAGGCTTAGACTAATACCCTATTCGCACGAGATTGGTATTACCTGTGGACCTCTGGGAATTTGTGATAATTATGGAGGATGTCTGAGAATGCGCCATGTCTGTAATTTGTAAAGTAATAATTCTGCCGCAAATTACCTCCTGTATTTGTCCAAACACAGACGTATGGTGATAATACTAATCCCTTGCGAATCTGAATGTCAGTGATTTTGATTGCTATTGCCGCCTTCTCTACTTTCTGTGTTGTTTTTTGTCAATATCTTGCGTCTTTTCATATCTCTTCATGGCTCAAACCATGGAGGCTGTAGTAAAAATGTCTAATCGCAGTTTTGAAGCTTTGAAGCAGCAAACTATAATACTGCTTGAACACATTGTAAGCACAGCGAGTGACGAACGAGGTCTATGGATAAGTGTAGAGGACCAGAAGCGATACTAAAAGAACAAAACGATGTCTAGAATCACTGTCAAACCTGCTCCACCTGCTGAAGTTTAAATACAAGTGATGTGTGTTTGGAGCTGATCTACTACCAATTATTTTTTTAAATTGGTATCAATATATGGCTACATTACACATCTCCATTCCATTTATCATGAAATAAAGCGTATTTTTTCTTTTATTTATGCCATAAATTGGCATATTGTATATTTCTGACCAATATATCAATAATCGTCATATCGTTATCGTAATAATATCGTTGTTGTGAGCTTTGTATCGTATCGTATCGTGAGGTACCCTTAGGTTCCCACCCCTAGTTTTGACTAGGAGCTGCGTTGCTGCGAGGATCCTTTGTGCTGCATAAAGCGGGCTGACTCGTGCATGTGTCCGTTCCTACTATATCGTCCCCTTTTATTCTGGGTTGGGCGGAGGGGGGTGGCAATCAGAGCTGCTACCCAAGTCTCTTAGCAGCAGTCCCCAGAGGTCCACAGGTAATTCTAATCCTGTGAGAATAGTGCTTTAGACTGTCTTGCAGTCAAAATATACTAACTTAAAGGCGCTATACCCGTTGCTGCAATGTTTGAATGTTTAGCACCGCCCCCCAACTCGCTCAATGGCTTCTCATTTCCCCTACGCTCTCATAACACAGAGCCACCTAGTTTTATTTGCGATCTGATACATATGCTAACATTAGCATTAGCGCAACTTCTTGTAAGCTGTGCAACAATCACCGGTGAAATGGCACTAAAGCAACGCACTGCTAACACAATATATAAGTAAAAGAATACCGCTAGTTTCGCGTCCGAATGTATTAATTTAAAACCTTAGAATATATTCTAATATTTAAGTATAATGTGTTATAGAGCTCCTCAAAGCAGCAGCAGCCATTCTTCCGATCATTTTTTCTTGATAACAGAACTCTCAAACCAATAATGACCGAAGCCCCAATGCAACCTCTGTTTGTAATTCAGGTGTGTAAAATACTGCCATTACTCCGCAAGTACAACAAGCTATCAGTACCTGTCACTACACACTCGTCTGTGTAGAAAAGCCAACGGAGCTAGCCACGCTCAATAAACAACTACATATCTATCAATCAACACCATTAAACGTCAATCGGACAATACAGTACACATATACATCCTTAACACACATGCACGGATGATTTCAGAATTTGCTGTTAACGTTTTCATGACAAAAATACTGTTTCAATGTGACAAAAAGCGATTGCGAAAAACCCAGAAGTTACCATGAAACAGCTAGCTAGCTTAGCTGTTACCTGCCTAGCACGTCCCGGTGAAACCTTTGGGAGCTAACTATTTTATTTGCAGTCATTAAATACATTTCGAATTACAAGGGTTGTCTAATATTTGTTCACATTTTTTATTCAATTATTTTGTTCATTTTTTATTTTAGAATTATATTCGAATTTTGAAGTCGAAGCCCTGGTGTTAAGCAGCGCTGTAGGGGCTAGAGGACGCAGGCTGTTCGCTGCTCGTTCTGTGAGCGGAGGAGAAAGAGCGGCCCGCTCAGACTCTACTCAGCACTTTTCACTGCTTGTAATTCTTACACAGCTGAATCAATTACCTCAAGTTTTCAATTAAATGATGTATTATGATACAACTTGTATATAGTAAAAAGCATTTTTATGAACTACTTAGAAAAAAAATCGGGTATAGCTTCTTTAAGATAACATTTTTTTTTAACTAAGATTAAATTTAAACAGCTTTTTTTGGAGTGTAAATTAAACCATGTGATACAACCTCTTTATAGGTTTCACATGACCCAGCATGTCATAAAGAGATTCCTCTTTGTGACATGTTTTATTTCCTCAAAAACATCTTGGTGTTTTGTGAAAAGAGTAAATATGGAGACATTTTGTGTCTGCAGTGTTCCACAGAGAGGCATGCATTTCTACCTCCATAGAAAGCAAAAGTAAAGCCACAGACTACAGGGTAGATCAGTGAAGAGGTGACCCGCCCACCTATAAATATAGTTTTTGAAATATATTTAGCAATAAGCCAGATGTAATAGAAGAAACAAAGGTGTTTATCATTTGTTATGTCAAGGCTCATGTAAAATAAATTTGTTGCAAACTCTGTAGGCCATCAGATTACTCATGCCTCAGATTACCTTCAAACAGGGGGCAGAAGTGTCTCCAGCAGGTGATGCAGCCTTGTGATGTGTACTGTCCCATTGCAGACTCCAGAAGAAACTGGGGGATTCCACAAGACAGCAGGAATAGGACATATGGAACCAAGAACGCACCTATGATGAATACAAAATAAGAATTAGAAATTATGGTATAAGGATAGAAATTGCTGATGCACACACTTTCTACACATCTTTCATAAGGGTTGACCGATCCATCATGACCATGTTTTATCATGCTTTAATAGGATCAATTTTATCTTTCTCTTTATCATCATGGTTTGGCCAGTCTACCCTAAAACAATCAAGACCAAATTGTAAAATGTTCTAGTCGTCTGCTTGGCACCACGATCCGTGGTTTTTTTAAATTGAAATTGAAAATGAAATATCTTAAAATGGCTTGAATTTTCCTTTTTTCATTTTGATGAGGAAAAGGAAAAGAAAGCAGGTAACATGCATAGCCAAAGCAACAGAAAGGGACATTTTACTTATTTTTAGGATTATTGGACTCGTTTTGTGGAGCTCAACTGTATTTTCCACAGAATCTTGCGCAGCCTTTATCATAGACGAGAGACAATACTGATAAGTTATGGATGAACGGTTGTAAATATGTAATTGTGTAATCTATATACTGCTCTTTTATTCTTAATATATCTAGGAATCATGTGTGTGTATGAGTTTACTTAAAGTTTAAATAAAAATGAATAAACGGTAAACGCAGAAAGGGAAGCTGCGCGGATGAGCAACCAAAATGCAATCTTTAAAAATGAATTGCAAATAACATCAAAAAGACTTTTGCGACTACTTTTTCTGCACACTTATTCACTGCAATGCCTTTTACGACTGTGCAAAGTAAGATTCACTTTTACTGTGAATCTGCTTGGTTTTCAAACCAAGCAGACCTTGTATTTTGTTTTTCCTGTTTGTATACACCTGCAGGTTTGATATAAATGAAAATGAAATGAAATGAAATGAAATGAAACTGTGGAAATCCAAAGAAAATTGGGGTCAAACCAGTGGGGGCGGGTCCCGACTCAAAAATGTCCAAAATGACATGCGCTGACATGCTTGCAGTACAACCCTGGGCCGATGGTGGAGGACCCGGAATAAGAATTATTCAATGCTAATGTATAGCATCTTCTTACCTCTCAAACACGGCTTTACAGGATGGTCCAAAAGTCGGCTCATGGTCCAAAGCTAGTTCCACATGTGTGACAATGCTGAGGAGAGTGTATTTTTTGGACCCGTCTAGTTTAGTCATTTTGAAGGAATTTTTTCCGCAAACTTGATGATCTTCACAATGTCGAGGCTGGAGGTGCAGTGGTTGGTGTACAGGGAAAGGAGCAGGGGAGAAAGACACAGCCCTGTGGATGGTTCCTGTATTTATAATCCGAGAATTTGAGACATTCTTCCTCAGACACACACGCTGCTTCCTGTCCGTCAGTGATCTACTTGCAGGTGGAATTGGGCATGTTGAGCTGGGAGAGCTTGTCCTGGAGCAAGGATGGCAGGATAGTGTTGAGCAGAGCTGAAGTCCACAACCAGGATCCTGGCGTAGGTCCCCGGGGAGTCCAGGTGCTGTAGGATGTGGTGGAGGGCAAGGTTTATGGCATATCTGTTGGCTCTGTTGGAAAACTGCAGGGGGTCCAGGAGGGAGGAGGTGAAGGACTTGAGGTGGGGAAGGACCAGGCTCTCAAATTACTTCATGACTACAAATGTCAGAACCATGGGTCTATATTCATTAAGTCCAGTGATCTGGGTCTTCTTGGGGACAGGAACGATGGTAGAGTAGGCATCACAGTGAAGAAGTGTATAGTGAATAGTCGCATTTTGGTTGAGTTCAGATACTCAGAGCAGGGAAGTGATGGGCCCGTCTGCCGGCCTGAGAGGAGTGCGGAGCAGACATGTACTCGTACAAGTCTCGGTTACCTATTTACCTAGATTAAGGGGCCGTTTACCTCACTCTTATTTTTTGCTAATATGAAAGTGGATATAAAAAAAAGCTAAATGGCTAATTAATACAATAAAAACTTCCAAAACATGAAAATGGAAGATTATAGCCATGGGCAAAAGCCATTGTAGTTTAAAAGTTTTAAATCACTCTGCTCATTATTTTTACAGTAAAATGTGTTTTTATGCAATTACACTTGACCTACTTATGCCAAATTAATACTAATGTTGGCAACATTAATATTCGATCTGGCCTTCGGGGCTCAGGCCATGAAATTCTACATTTCTACTGTATATTACAAGTGTTTTCTTCAGCAAATACTGTATGTTTTTTCTTCCTCAATAGCTTGTAGGACAGTTGAACCAGTGACCCCAAAACACTTTCCAAAATTAGTACTAGCTCTTGGCTAATGAGCTCAGACCATGACAATCTGCGAAGAAGCCATCCAGTCATTTGTCCGTTTCCGGGTTTTGGGGGCAGCTGTTGGAGTTACCCAACCATCCCTCCTGGCTCCTCCTGCAAGTAGTGGGTCCAAAGAAGGATGGCCTCACGATTTGAACCGGGCCTGTTAGGGGTATCTGAACCGCTCTTTGTCCGACCCGTCACCTTGGAACCTTCGTTGTGGGAGATTCTACCAGGGGCACAAAGCCTGCGACAGAGTTCTCAGGCTCAAACCCTTCTACCATGTTAAGGTGGCGGTTCCAGGAGGGGCTACTTACAGTAGAAGCTTCTACTGTATTGTACTAGGGGTTCCCTCAGAAATGTTTTTTTTTTTCTACAATAATATGTGTGCATTGTCCGTATGGCTTGCATATGTCGCATCTGCGGTCTTTGTGTATGCATTGCGTGCCACAGGTTTAGTGCGGCCAATGCACTGTCAGATATATTTTTATGAATATTTTATGGTGGTTTGGGGTGACTGGGTCAAATGCCCTAAAAGCTTTTGAGGAAAAACCCACATTTTATGAGTAAAACACTTAATGTAATAAGTAATACAGTAGAAAATGTCTTTTTATGAATTTCATGACCTGAGCCCCATAGCCTAGAGCTGGTACACATATTTTATAGGGTTTTGAGGTGGCTGGGTCAAATTCCCTAAAATATTCATATTTTCTGTCCCAAACAATTGTGATAGCTTTGAAACATAATAGTGTTTCGGGGTGACTGGATGAAAGGCCCTTAAACCCATATTTTCAGTGGTGAACCCTTGAAATATATTGCGCTCCTCAGCAGTGATCAAAGTGATGACTTGTAAAGATTGAAACTACAATTGAATGACTTTTGCCCATGGTCATAATCTTCCATTTTTATGTCCATCCATCCATCCATTTTCTACCCTTTAATCCATTTCTGGGTCAGGTCATTTTTATGTTTTTGACTTATTTATTCATTCATTGTATTATTTAGCCATTAAGATTTTTTATATCCACTTTCATAATAGAAAAAATCTAGAGTAGCTTAAATGTTGACGGACCCTAAATATAGGCAAAGAAATAACTGAGACTCGAACGAGTACATGCGCAACGTACTCCTCTCCTCTTGCTATCTGCCAAATATCCCATATCGAACCAACTTTACCACTGTATGGCAAATACATTGCATACAGCTCTGTTCAAGCGTGGCTTGTAATTAATAAGTGAATAACACATTTTGATGGCCTATTGATCCTTTCACTGACAGTAATAGATAATATTATAATACAATATTTTTGTGTAGATGCCAAAACTCATTTTTTAATGGAAAAAAAATTCACCTTGAACATTGAAGGGTCAGAGATGTTTTTAAAGTGACATCAACAAGAGATACTGACGACAGCAGGTGGAACAACCCTATATCCAGTCTCTCTGGCACGTGAACTTCTCGTGGTATGCAAACTACCTCTGGTCTGGTGTTTGTGTTTCTATCCTCCCTGCTGCTGTCAGGCTGTACAATGAGAAAGACCTGAGTCTGAACTGCTGAGTCTGTACAAATGTCACTGATAGTTCACTATAGTAACTTGCCAATAGCCACTTTACCTGCTGTTAGTATTACTGAATTATTACATATCCATCTGATGTTTCTGCCATTCACAAGCCACTTTACCTGTTGATATTATGTCTGATATTTATTCTGTTCGTATTCATATTCATATTCTCATATTCACCGCTGCTAAAGTACATAGACATCTGTAAATACTTTTGAACCAAGTGCAATTATAGCCCAGAGTTTATTTTATTTTATTTTATTCTTATCTTAATTTTATTGTCTATTATCTTAAATAATAGACTTATTTGATGTGTGCAATCTGAGTGCTCTTATTTCCTTACTCTGCTGTAATGTGCGCAACGATGACACTGAAATTTCTCTACTGTAAGACAAATAAAGGTTAATCTTATCTTATCTTAATTCTCTTTTTAGAGCTGTGCCAGGTAAGGTCATTTATTTGATTTAAGAAAAAAATCAATAAAGCAATTACATACAAATACAACACAAATCAAACAAAGACCAGATACTATCTTAAAGGTGCATTGTGAAACTGTTTGGAGGCCACCACTTTGTTGCTGCTGTGATTATAATATTTCAACTCATTTCAATCAAAAAATGTTGTAATGTATTCTTTAAATTTAATTAGATTTATTTTTTTACATTCCTAAATTACAACATCAGACATCTCTGAGAACTTCACAAAGTTGTTGATTTGTCAACAACAGATCAGAGAATCAAACATTTCAAACACAGGAAATGTAACAAATAAAAACACAGAGCCATTTTGTGCATAAATGTCCCGGAACATCACTGTCTGCATGGCTTAGACCCTCCTACATCTGCAAGGAGCGGCTCAAAAAACCTAAGCCTAGGTGAGTTAAATTTGTATTATTTTGTGGATAATTGGATATCCTTCATGGAATGTAATTTACATCATCATACAAAGAATGTATCCATGCAAATTAATATAAAATATCTATCTGACAGTGTGTTGGTTGACATTGGTGTGCCGGTCATGACACTTGGGCCTTATTTTTGCTTTTAGGAACCATGTTTGATCACAACATCCTTGAATGGAAATCGGAGTGGCAATCTCTCCAGGACAAACACTAACCCTAACATAGACAGAA